AAAAAAAAAACACATCAAGCACTCAAATCTCTGTTGTACATCCCAGTTTTCTATTAATATAGATTTCTAAATCTTTCCAAAATAATCGTGTGTAAATACAGCAAAAATGTTGTTGTCCACAAAATTCACATGTAAATGTTTAGTGAAATGTTTAATAATGAAATGTTTAGTTTAAATCTTTCCAAAACATACTTAACCGGATAAATCTTATGCAATATTTTGTAAAACACTTTCTGAAGTATTGGAAGTATTAATTCTGCTGCCCGATAAAGGAGCGTTTGGCGTCACCTATCGGTCGAATACGGCACATCGATAGTTAGCGTCGTTGCTAGGAAACGACTCTTGAAAACACAACGAGCATTCGTAAATGTCTGACAGGCCTAATCTCAGATGTTTTACTCCTGAACGTCTCTGAAACAACAAAATGTCTAACGCCCTGTTAGCAGAAGTTGGTTGGGACGCGGGTTTTGCCATCCCTGTAGCTAATGCGGAGAATAAAGCATTGGAGGAGGGGGTGAGTGAGACGTTTATCTGCTAATTTACTTCATATCAGGAGAACTGGTGTTTTAAGAGAGGTGTGTGTAAATCTCATTCATTTTTTCTTCGCTCCACAGCTTCAAAAGAAGCAAAAAGAGCAATTAAATCTTGAGGACAAAATAAATAAAAACAAGGATGTGATAAATGCTCTGACTGAACACCTAAAAAATCTAAGACAGGAGGTTTCCCACACTCAGGTACGAGATAACTGTAGAGGAACTTGTTCCTTCCTTTGTTTTTCTGGTGTGTAAGATGCGATGTTCGCATGTGTTCAGGCATTGTGCAAAGCCAGAGAGAAGGAGACTGAATCAGAGGTGCATTTCAGAGCACTGGCAGAGCGAGAGACAGGCCGCCTGAAGCAAGAGGTCACTCAGCTGGAGAATCAACTGAAAACACTGAATGAGAAGAAGAACGCGCAAGAGGTTGCAGCTGACACATATACACCATCCATATGATGTAACCTCTGCTTATGCAGAAACTGTCAAAGCAATATAAAGACACACAACCACTATTCATTGGTGGCTCACAAACTACAAATGTATACAAACACATTTACACACACACTATAGTTCAAAAGTCTGGGGACATTTAAATGAAGTTAATATATATTCAGCACGTACTCATTAAATTGATCATGGGTGACAGTAAAGACATTTATAATGTTACAAGATTTCTGTTTCAAATACATGTGGTTCTTTTGAACTTTCTATTCATCAAAGAATCCTGAAAATATGTATCCCAGATTCCACACAAAAAAAAACAAAAACATTATGCAACACAACTGTTTTCAACATTGATATTATTAATAATAAATCTTGATGATCAAAACAACATCAGAATGAATTCTGAAGGATCATGTGACACTAAAACCTGCAGTAATGATGTGAAAATTCAGCTTTGCATCACAGGAGCAAATTTTAAAATTTGACACATTTTAAAATATGTTAAAACCATAGACTGTATAAAAACATGGACGTAGTGTCCGTGACGTCACCCGTAGGTTCCTGAAGAGCGTTTTTGAAGCTCAAAGTGGGCAGAGCCGGCCGTCGCCATCTTGGCAGCGCGTCACCGCACGTCACTACGGGATAATCGAAAATGGGCAAAAAGGCGGGAGCTGGTTGCTGAAACCACGCCCACCTAGCTCGACGGTGGTGACAGCAGCGGCAATCCACCTGTCACTCAAGTGGCCACGCCCTTAATTATGCAGAACTTTAAAGGGATAGTTCACCCAAAAATGAAAATTTGATGTTCATCTGCTTACCCCCAGGGCATCCAAGATGTAGGTGACTTTGTTTCTTCAGTAGAACACAAACGAAGATTTTTAACACAAACCATTGCAGTCTGTCAGTCTTATAATGGAGGTGAATGGGAATCACGGCTTTGAGAGTAAAAAAAAACATACACAAACAAAACCAAAGTGCATCAGAGGTAAAAAACTATATAAATATTGTTCAGTTTCTTGCACAGACCGATCGTTTCGTGTCTTTACACATCAATGTATCGTCACGAGCCGCAGGGGTTAATTTGGTTTTGTCTAAAACATACACAAACAAAACCAAATTAAACCCTGCAGCTCGTGACGATACATTGATGTGTAAAGACACAAAAAGATCGGTCTGTGCAAGACCTCTGATTCACGCAATGTCCAAACTGTTCGAACTGTCCTGAGCGTGTTCTCAACAGCAGGCGCGTGAGGCGTCTTCTTCT